ATGTGAATATGTTCCAGTAGCAGGTTTATACACTCAATAAGAATAAACACAAATTACATCAAGGGAGAGATATCTCAGGGAAATTAAGCCACTAAAATATAAAACTATAATAACTGAGCACCATTTCCTTGCTGCGACTTGTGGGTTTCTTTCTCCACAGGCAGCAACATCTCATAAATCCTAATGAGATTTACAGCGCGAAGGGGATAAATGTAATTACATTTGAGAAATATAAAACATCTGGATCTCATTTCTAAAGGCATTGTTTTGCTTTGCGTTGCAACAGCCTCAAAAAGGAAATAAATCATCAATTAAGAAGTCTAAAATGCCTACTATACCCTTTACCTCCTAAAATCTTCAGTAGCAAGTGATCTTCTGTGTGGTTACTCTGCTCAGCGGGCTAAAGAGGAAGTAATCACATCACTCTAATTGTATAATACCAGACCAACTTCCTGCTCTGCCATCGTTAAAACAGGAGATGAAAGCCGCTGCTGAAGCTTTCATCTCCTGAAAACAGGCTCACCCTCCCTTAAGCTGCTACAGCAATGACCCGAAGGCCTCCCTCAGAGGCAGCAACTCAGAGATCTTCAAACATATATTAACATTTATAAAAGTTTTATTTTTTATTTTATTTTATTTTATTATTATTTTGTTTAAGCTGTTTTCGTTTTGTTTGCAGCTGGAGGATATCGCGGACGGCACAGAGCAGGTGTTTCCAGTCGTGTCCGGTTTTCACGCCCTCAAAGACATTGTTAACAAGGTGAGGTCACCGTGTGTGTGTGAAATGTTAATGCGTGCAAGTGTTTTTGCTGTGGATCAAACTGATCACCTCGGCTGCGTCTGCAGGTCCTCCAACAGTCGTGCAGTGAAGTGTTCACAATCGAGCCGTCCAGTGTCTGTGTGAACGGTAAGGATGAAAAACTGAAGATTAAGGCAGCTCTGAATGGAAATTACTGTCATTATGTTACACGCTCACACAAAAATGTAGAGTTTGTAGCGTTTTCTTTGAGTGGGAGGGACGAGATAATGCAAAAAGGGACTAATGTTTACAGAGGTTTTCACAGATAAGACTCTCTGAAACTAAAATGAAGCTCTGTGGGGATGTGGGGCCGATCATTGTTTATGTACAACTAAATGAGGCCCACAGGGAAGAGACTCCCTGCCCCAATCTCCCCCAATCCCCAATCATGTGCTGTAAAACATGGTGGAGGTTTTGTCATGGGGAGCTGCTGTGTTGCTTCTGGTACAAACATTAATGTTGACAAACTTCCATCTTACTCAGTAAATGTAATTGTTTCCACAGACTTCTGCTACTTTTAGCTTTTAGCTAAGCTTTTACTACTTTTAGTTATCGTTCTAGTGCTTTTAGCTATTTATTTCCTACTTTTAGCCACTGTTTGGATACTTTTAGCTCTTGCTATTTTGTTGCTTTTTTAGCTGCTAGCTAGCCTTTTGCTACTTTTAGCTTTTTGCTATCTTCAGCTATCGTTCTAGTGCTTTTAGCTATTTATTTCCTAATTTTAGCCACTGTTTGGATACTTTTAGCTCTCAATACTTTGTTGCTCTTTTTGGGTATTGACTTGCCTTGTTCTACTTTTAGTTTTTAGCTAACCTTTTGCTACTTTCAGCAATCATTCTAGCGCTTTTAGATATTTATTTCCTGCTTTTAGCCACTGGATACTTTTAGCTCTCGCTACTTTGCTGCTGTTTTTAGCTGTTGACTTGCCTTTTGCTACTTTTAGCTACAGTTTAAGTGCTTTATACTTTAAAGACTGTTTTTCTTTTAGCTTTAACAGCTTAATTTAAGTTTCTTCTTCAAACTGAAGCAGTCATTCAGCCAGAGGAACCACCATGGGTGGTTGGGTGGGTGGGGTATTGGGGTCTATGACCCACCCTGCTCACACACACACACACCCCCGTCACCCAAAAACAGGTTTTATTTACAGTTACAGTGTCAAAGCTTTGTTTCTTAGCTGTAAATAACTGTAATGTAATAAACAAAGTATTGTTTTCTGATATATAGATGTTTTTTTTCCAGAGTCTTTTAACGTGGTCTTGAGGGGCACTGGTTTTAGTGGATCCAAGAGGGTAGACAACATCCTGTGCGTCCTTTCTGTCAATCAAGTACTTTACAGTAAGTGAGACTCTCYGTGAGATCGTGTCCGATCAGCTTTAAGGCTACTACAGTTTACTTCACAGTCGCGCTTCAAATTTGTACAAGTCTCTGTGATTAAATTATCTATGAAGTGAAATCTGATACTGTGGAGCTGGAGTGGAAAGTCGGAGTCATGATATGATTTAGACACAAACAGAGGCAGCCTTTTATTGGCCTCAGACAGAGAACAGAGGACATATTATAAGGCTGAACAGAGGGAGGAGATGCTCCATTAGTCTGTTAACGGATCGATGGCAGGATGTGCTGTGGTCCGTGTCACAGAGAGGACACGAACAAAAAAACACATGACTCATGTTGGCCAGCTGTTCAGTTCTGATGGAGGGCTTTACGCCCAGCTTTGATCTTTGAAAAACTTTGCTAAAAGAACCAATTATAGCAGACATGTCATGCTTTGAAATCCCTTTTGTTCGCATTTAAATCAATCAGTTAGGGTCTGAATTCCTCCTTATTGTAACTCCACAAGCCCCTCTTTCACCCCTTTTTTGAGGTAAGTATGTCTCAGATCAACTCGTCTCTTTAGGTGCTTCGTGCCCCCCCGAGTGGTGGCCCTTTAAAAATACAGACTCAGAATGAATCAATAATCAGTGCATTGTTTTTGTYTCATTTAGAGACTAAATATCACCTGCTGTCATTAAAGGTGGACAGTGCCTGGTGCCTGTGTTTGTCTGTTAGCAAAATATTTTATGAAGCACTATATATATTTGAATGAAACTATCAGAGATAAAACACTGGATCTGTCTGCATCTGATGAACCTTTGGAGTTTTACTTTTACAGACACTGAATTCATATTTAGTGTTTTAGATAAGCGTTTCTTCAAAGTATGCACCATTTGCTATATATTATTG